GATAGGTTGGTGATGACTAAATGGTTGAGAGGGTGATTGATACACTAACGATGGCTGACAGGTTGACACCTTGTGATGACTGATAAGATTGGTGATGACTGACAGGTTGGTGATGACTGATAGGTTAACAGGCTGGTAGTGGTTGATGACAGGTGAGCTATCAAAGGCTTATTCATAATAAATACGAAATACACCCAGACCAGTGCAAAATTTTATGCAAAATATACTCGTCTCCAATACTTGAAAATCCTAACCAACGGTCTTGCTCTCAGGGCGGTGAGTGCCAGAACGGTGGCTCTGAGTGCCTGGGTAACATGCTGGTGTCATGCGTCGCTCGGTACATGAGGAATCAAAGTGCCGTCCTCTCCTTCGCCTCCTGCCTCACGAAGGACACGGCGCTGCTGAAGGGGGAGAATGCGACGCCCGTGCTGAAGAAGGCGCTGAAGGTCGGTGCTTGTGTTTCGTGGCTCGTGTGTGTGTGTGTGACTGACAGGTTGGTGATGACTGAAAGGTTGATAGGTTGGTGATGACTGAAAGGTTGATAGGTTGGTGATGACTGACAGGTTGGTGATGACTGGCAGGTTGTTAGATGAACGATAACTGACAAGTTGGTGATGACTGACAGGTTGGTGATGACTGACAGGTTGGTGATGACTGGCAGGTTGTTAGATGAACGATAACTGACAAGTTGGTGATGACTGACAGGTTGGTGATGACTGACAGGTTGGTGATGACTGACAGGTTGGTGATGACTGAAAGGTTGATAGGTTGGTGATGACTTATGGCAGATTGATGATGATTGATGACAGGCTGGTGATGACTGAAAGGTTGATAGGTTGGTGATGACTTATGGCAGATTGATGATGATTGATGACAGGCTGGTGATGACTGAAAGGTTGATAGGTTGGTGATGACTGGCAGGTTGTTAGATGAACGATAACTGACAAGTTGGTGATGACTGAAAGGTTGATAGGTTGGTGATGACTGGCAGGTTGTTAGATGAACGATAACTGACAAGTTGGTGATGACTGGCAGGTTGTTAGATGAACGATAACTGACAAGTTGGTGATGACTGGCAGGTTGTTAGATGAACGATAACTGACAAGTTGGTGATGACTGAAAGGTTGATAGGTTGGTGATGACTGACAGGTTGGTGATGACTGAAAGGTTGATAGGTTGGTGATGACTGAAAGGTTGATAGGTTGGTGATGACTGAAAGGTTGATAGGTTGGTGATGACTGAAAGGTTGATAGGTTGGTGATGACTTATGGCAGATTGATGATGATTGATGACAGGCTGGTGATGACTGAAAGGTTGATAGGTTGGTGATGACTGACAGGTTGGTGATGACTGACAGGTTGGTGATGACTGAAAGGTTGATAGGTTGGTGATGACTGAGAGTTTGATAGGTTGGTGATGACTGGCAGGTTGTTAGATGAACGATAACTGACAAGTTGGTGATGACTGGCAGGTTGTTAGATGAACGATAACTGACAAGTTGGTGATGACTGGCAAGCTGGTAAGTTGGTGATGATTGAGAGTTTGATAGGTTGGTTATGACTGACGTTGATAGGTTGGTTATGACTGACGTTGATAGGTTGGTGATGACTAACTGGTTGAGAGGGTGATTGATACACTAACGATGGCTGACAGGTTGACATCTTGGTGATGACTAATAAGATTGGTGATGACTGACAGGTTGGTGATGACTGATAGGTTAACAGGCTGGTAGTGGTTGATGACAAGTGAGCTATCAAAGGCTTATTCATAATAAATACGAAATACACCCAGACCAGTGCAAAATTTTATGCAAAATATACTCGTCTCCAATACTTGAAAATCCTAACCAACGGTCTTGCTCTCAGGGCGGTGAGTGCCAGAACGGTGGCTCTGAGTGCCTGGGTAACATGCTGGTGTCATGCGTCGCTCGGTACATGAGGAATCAAAGTGCCGTCCTATCCTTTGCCTCCTGCCTCACGAAGGACACGGCGCTGCTGAAGGGGGAGAATGCGACGCCCGTGCTGAAGAAGGCGCTGAAGGTCGGTGCTTGTGTTTCGTGGCTCGTGTGTGTGTGTGTGTGTGTGTGTGTGTGTGTGTGTGTGTGTGTGTGTGTGTGTGTGTGTGTGTGTGCATAGACACATACACAGACACCCCCACACGTATACGCACACGCATACGCACACACACACACACACACACACACACACACACATATACATAAATATATATATGTATACATATACCTATATATACATATATATATATACATACAAATATATATATATATATACATATATATATATATATATATATAAAAGTGTGTGTGTGTTTTACTATACAAAGTAAACAAAAATCTTCTTGACTCTCCACCGTCTTACCAACGTTTGAGAAATAGAGAAAAAAAATAACAAAGCAATACGAAATCTCCCTAATAAATGAAGTGATTGTGCTCTCTTATGCCCTAAGTGTATGGAAGACCAACCCAAAGTCTGGAACAAAGTGGCGGCTTGCGTGAGTACTGAAGAGGGTTCGAACCTCCTTATGGCCGCTTGGAACCGACAGAAGGAGATCGGAGTCGTAGACAATGGGAATCCGATCGTGGCCTTCAATGGGGTAGGTTTTTTCGTCTATATTTTTTAGGTAGCTTTTGCGTTTGCAAGAGCGATCGATAGTATTTTGTTTTAGGAATGAGTTTGAAATGATCCTAATAGCTGTAGACTTGTTATAGTTGTTTCCGAAATGAAATTCCTTTTCATTAATCTGTATACTTTTCGCAATGTTGGTAATTCTTGTGTTTTATGTATTGTATCATTTATGTTGACAAGAGTGACATATAATTTTTCCCTAATGATAATTCTGACGTTATTGTTGTTAAGATGAGAAAAAAATAGTTCCTCTTTACGCTAATCATTATTTTCATATATTTGCTTTGGTGCATAACTTATCATATCCACAACGCATGGCAGATTGTATAACTATCCCTAACATCCTCTTCAATAATCCCAAATGCACCCCACCCCCTTCCAAAAATAAAATAAAATACAATAAAAAGACGAAAATACACAAAACGAATGTCTCAGATTTTTTTTCTTCTTTTTAACGTTTCTAGGAAGTGGTCATTTCAAATGTCGAAGATCTAGACAAGTTTAAGGAATACGTTTGCCTCCGCCTCGAGAACAACAAGAAAGTTCAGAGGGCGTGCAGGTACCTCCTCCAAGACACGAATGTAGTGACCTAAGAGTCAGATTTGACCTGACCTGAGTTGGACTTACCTCGTATAACTTACTTCTCTAACCTTAATTGAGTGAATGTGATTTCAAAAGATTGTTTACACTTAACAATGTTTCTGTTTTCTTACCTTAAACGTATAAAGAAATTTTAATACATATTTTTTTAAAGTGTCTTTTCGTAATTTGCCATAAGAAATTATCTATAATCATACAATTTGTTTTACATAGTTTGAATCTTTAAAAAAAATAACACATTATCTTTTGTAACTTATGTCTATATTATTTGATTGAATGTTAGTTTTAATAATAAATTTGTTGTTGCATCCGACGGGTTGTTAATAAACCTTCAACCTTGTTTGATCCTTATTTATTAACAACAGAAACAGTACGAGTTCATATTTCAAATAAATCATATATCAATCTACAATACTGTACAGTTATGAAATTTGAACATCGGTTGCATTTTTTCCCAATAAAAAAAGAAAAAAAAAAAACAGCATATCAATATAGTTTCTGACTATTTAACCTCTTAACTAATCTATAGCCCGTAAAACTTTCTCTTTGAACAAGAATATTGACTAAAAAGACATTTGCATATATTTGGCTTCTCTCCCGCTTGAAGTTTGACAATTTCATAGAATGATTTCAGTATATAAAGGCGAGCGTTTATGTACTAAAATGTTATCTCTTCTTCTTGGAATAGCATTGCTGATAAGCAGGTTTTAGTTCAACAGCACTACGAAAAAGATGTGTATGTACTAATTGGTTTCCTTATTGCCATAAATTATAATTCTAATAAAGATAAAACCAAAATATAACTGACCAAATCTAAACAGATACAAAATCTCTCGATTTTGGAGTTACACTGAGGAATATTTTGCTTTATTGTCACAGAAATGTTAGACTGCACCATTTAGTTGACTGGTTCTCTTCCATGTGCATGATGGTAATCCTGTAAAGCTTGAAAGAAAAGCCTAATCGTATATGAAGCTTTCACAAACTGCCAGTGTTTCAGTGTCCTGGATATTTATTTACTCTTTAAACTGTATTGCTCCTTCGGCTTTTAATTTTGTAATCGAAGATAATCGTGGATTCTATGAATATCATCGTATATCGACGTTCAACTTTGAAAAGTCAATCCACCCATTTTATTAATTACCATACATCATATAACCGTGCCAGTTACCCCGATACCCAATATTTAACAGATATAGAAATTCCGACAATATTCTTTCCAATAGCATCTATCGCTATCAATGTAATCAGTAATATACGAAAGTCCTAATTATGGATTGATAACAATTGAATTTGGGATGAAATAAATACTGTAATTGAAATTGAGTAAAATATAAGTGATTGACCGTGACGCAGCTTTCCAGCCATACGATTACACCCCATGTAAAGCAAAGTTTCATGTAGATTTCATCCATTATTATTCTATTCTTTATGCTATCATATTTGTGGATGACATTTCATAAGTGTTCTACGGTTTTCACTTTGCCCACTAGGGTGTAAATAATGTTTAGAGTGAGCTCTGTGTTTTCAATGTATCGAAGTGGGTGTTTACATTCCTTGATCAAATAAGCGTTTGTCCGGATAATCTTCAAAATTTCAGTGAGGCATCATTGTTAGTTGTAATACATTATTTATTTCTACAGTACAATTGTATCTAACATGATATAATAATTACTGTTCAGACAATCAAGTAACATGCTTCCTTTCAATTTTAATATAATTTTTGTTTTATCATCATTCCCTCTTTCGGGAAGTATGTTTGGGGAAGCATCCCTGTCTGTAAAGGGATCCCTGGACAGAATAGACTAGTGTGATCCTCCTTTAAGGGTCCTACACCTACACCTCAGGAAGAAAATCTCATTCCAGACTATGGAACAGTAATCATAGGTTTTACTTGTTATCTGATTAGAGTATTAAAATAAACGGCTAAGTAGTCTACAACTATCTAGGCAAAGTTATTTGGCTGTTATCATCACAATGGCAGGCGCTTTTTGGAAGATTGTCACCACGACAATAGGACATTTTCCGATGAATAATTACATTGTCAAAGGCTTATCAAGAGAGATATTACAAAACCCCGAAATGTAATTTGGCACCTATGCTTTGCTAAAGATTTTTTTTTTTTTCATTTGTAGCTTTTCCACATTATTTGGCAACTGACGTAGGCTAACAACTACATAGTACACGAAACATGTATAATGGATATTATATTCAGATTGTTTCATATTTTACATCAGTTCAGGAAAACATCATGCATGAAAAATAATTAATATTTTTGTAAGTATTACCATCACAGTTCGTTTTGTGTTATGGATGCACTGCATGCCTTTGATTCCACAATGATTATTTGTTTTATTCACTGGGAAATGTGTTAATTCAGAATTAATAGACACTATACCGTATTGTACAGTCAATAATTTAATGATGAGAAGTTTCATATTACTTCCTTTATTTTCCTTATTTTTCTGACTAGATTGAGGTGTATATAGCACATTATATTTCGTTCTGATGTCTCTTTTTTTACATTATATTATACTAATCCTTCCGCCTTTTATTCCATTCCCAAAGGTCCGGAATCAATTATGTGTATGTGTGCTTGATGAATGTGTTGATATATCTCGGTAAGAACGTTATACTAATAGCATCTAATTTCATTGAATATGTTATGTAAATTAAGATGAGAAAAAAATCTAGTATGCATTCTACAACTATGTTTAGCCATATATTGGTTATTATGCCTAATAAAACTTAAATTAACGAGACTGAGGAGAGACTAGTAGCGAATTTGATAAGAACCTGTTTTCAATTGACTCAATAAAAAAAATATATATATATATATACATATATATATATATATATATATATATATATATATATATATATATATTTATATTTACATACATAGATATATATTATATATGTGTGTGTGTGTTTGTATTTTTTTTATGTCATTCCTTAGAGAGAGAGAGGAGAGAAAGGTAGATAACTAGATGGATAGATACGGGAGAGAGAGAGGGACAGAGAATACTGAGGACGTTACAAAAAAATCGTGAAAAATGCAATCCCTTTAATTGAAAAAGCAAAAGATAAAGAAGGTGTCCTTAGCTGGGCAAGCGCACCACGCCGCTATCTCCTCGAAGGGACGCCGTCAACGGATCCTGAGGAAGGCGGCGTTGGGGACCTGGCCGGGGGGGGGGGGGGGGGAGCGAAGGGGCGCGATGACCCACTCCCTCGGCGGCCACGGAGTCGTCTCCTCGAATTGAACGACCTGCTACTGCGGTGGTCACTGGCAATAATGGGAAACGTAATGAGGTTAATAACTGTAAAGTATGAGAGTGATGGTAACTCTAACAATATTATAGCGAAAATGATGATTATGATGATGATGACCTTGATGATGATAATTGGCAGTGATAATAATGTTCACAAAAAGGTATAGACCATCATATTGTAACAACAATAACCACGACAATAAAAAGATTAAAATTATTATACAGTAAAAACAATACACTGTGAATCATACCAATAACGACCCTTACATACGTTACATGCCTGTATTCCTCCTTCCTGGATTTCTAAGTAGGCGTTTGAACGGCGACTGTACTTCCATGCAAACGTAATCCTGTTCACATGCGTTAAAACAGCATCGTCGGTTACCTTCACAGTCTGTGTCTACCTTACACAAAGACTGCGAAAAAAGGGAAGGTTACTTTTAGCGAGGTGTTGGCTACAAATATATATATATATTTTTTTTTAATAGCATAGCTACTGAATACAGTTACTGCTGATGATAATGATTATGCAATGATATGATTAACAATAACTACTTGGTCACTTGAATTGAGGTGTACTTGAAAGACATTTTATTCTCTATATATATAGAAACTCAGTTAAATGTACAATATTATGATCACACTAACTCTCAAAAAGCATTCATTGGAATTTCGTGAGAGAGAGAGAGAGAGAGATAGAGAAGTAGGCCTATACAAGCGCTCCTTTACAAGAACCCTAACCTCACCTGCGTTTCTCGAGCTGAACGGTGCCTATCCGATGAGCAAGCACTAGTCTGGTCTGGGCATTGTCCTTTCTCCTCTTGTAAGGAATCTTGGTTTATGGGAAAAGTGCATTAATGTGAATCTGTTACTTTCTGTGCACTTCGGAAAATTATGTATGTTATATCATTTATACCATAAATTAGTAATAAATTCAGTTTTTGTTTCGAATACTCGTGCGTGAATATGTACGTAGGCAAATACATACAAAGAAAATATAAAGGAAAAACTACCTGCATATTTAAGTTCTGTTATCTAAGAAAACCTTACGATTTACCATTAGATTTGTAGTTCACCTTCTTAAAATAATGTGCTTTTCATTTATAAACTTAACAAAAACTCATAAATCTCTTAACAAAGGCATTTTTAGTCAAGAAATAGTTTGATATTAAACATTCTTATCGATGTTTGGGTTTCGTGATTGTCATAAAGTTACCAGTTGTAGCAGTTCTAATTGCTTTTTTATATAGGAAAACACCAATAATGTTCACATTAGGCAAAACATTGAAATGTTTCCAAACTCTTTACATAATTCTAAAGGCAATATCAGTGAAAGTAATTGCAAAATATCACGAGCCAGTTACAGGCTTCGTTACAAACAAGTGCATTTTGTTCATAGAATACTGAGTACTGTGCATATATTACCAGAAAAATACAGTCTTTAGACCATGGGGGTGTACCAGTTAGAACTGTGGAGAACTGTACATGGCCAAAGCCGAGAAACTGTTCCTGTCTTAAGTCAATTTTTTGGCACATACATTTGTGTATATACGGTCACTTACCTTCATTGCAGCAGTAGTGATTTTGATCAGCATCAATACACATCTTGTCACACCTGAAAGATAATTGACGTTCATCCACTTCTCCAAGATATATATTTCAATGAGAAAGGTAATCAAGACAGAATGGATGTAACCTACTTACCCACGTTTTCTACGGGCGTTTGTAGACGTAGGTAATGTTGGTATTGGAGTCTTTGTAACTCCGACTGGGGTCACCGCTGGTGTTGTTGGTCTCGGGGTCTTTGTAACTCCAACTGGGGTCACCGCTGGTTTAGTTGGTCTCGGGGTCTTTGTAACTCCGATTGGGGTGTAGTCTGGTCTTGTGGGTCTCGGGGTTTTTGTAACTCCGATTGGGGTGTAGTCTGGTCTTGTGGGTCTCGGGGTCTTTGTAACTCCGATTGGGGTGTAGTCTGGTCTTGTGGGTCTCGGGGTCTTTGTAACTCCGATTGGGGTGTAGTCTGGTCTTGTGGGTCTCG